TTAGAAATGCAATGGATAATTTATGGATCATTAAAATCATAAGCAACTCCTCTAACTATTCAATAAATCAACAACTGCAGAAGTACTTTATATTTTATTAAAAAACCCAGGAAACTTACAAATCTCATTTTACGCTCCAACAGGACACACAAATTGGTTTAGTTTCTCCTGGCAGCTGCCAGACAAGTAACCAAATCAGTTTTCCACCAGTTGATCGGCCATTGGCCTGACTGCAGGTCAGAAGACACGCAGTCTCCAAGGGGCAATTCCCACAAACGCCTTTGATAGTTCCTCCAATGGTAACTTCTAAGAGGTTTAAATAAGCCCATTTGCTCTGTTCAGCAATGCAATACTTCTTCAGCAGGACAGGGTCAGCTGCTGGGAGCTGCTGGGATTACAGCCTCCCAACCCAAAACTGAGCCCAGGCAGCACAGCCCTTGGCAGATCATGCCTGGGAAGCTTCCCCCCCCCCCGCCCCCCCCACGATGAGACACAGACACCTGCCCACCTCTCAGTCATTTCTAGATTATTGGTTAGTAAATAGCTGGGTGACTTCAGCAATCTTTCAATATTTGGTTGATGCCATCCTGCTCTCAGAGATGATGATCCTAGTCTGGTAGTTCATGTTCATGGCAAGACTCCCTCAAAGGGTGGCAGAATTTAGTCCAGAGCACCTATACATGGAATGATGTCTGCACTCTGGCGTGAACCTTGGTGCATCTCCACACACCCCCCTGGGTGATTAGAGGCATCCCCCACCTTAAACATTACAGGTCTGACCTAAGTGAAAGAAAAACCTATGCTGATTGCCCCAGCCCCCTACTGCCCCAGCCCTTCAGGTTTTGCTAGGCTACCTCTGCCTAGACAACGGGCCTATAGACGCTGGAGCTTCTCAGAATATTTTTAATGCAGGGGGCCTTATATACCACTTCCATCTGATGATGTGTGGAGGTAAATCCCACGTGGAAGGCTAGCCTATAGTACAGCTGTGGTCTGATGAATGGTGACCTGCAGCTCCAGTCCATGCCTATGCTCAGTCCATCCCCTAGAGCTATAGCAGGACATTGCAAAGGAGAAAACATGGTGCTCTCTGGAAAACATGCTGCTTGGAAGCACTTTTCCCCCTGGGCTGGGTCCTGCCTCGACCTTCTGTCTGCACAGCAGGTTTGGGCCTCCCCAGGGCTGTGGCCAACCACAAATTCCCACTGTGCTCCAAGCAGCCCACTCTGCCAGCCCTGAGCCTTCAGCCCACCAGAGAGATCTGCACGCAGATTTGGAGCACTGTAGGGTGACAACTTCTGTCCTTGACAATCCCAACTCAAGAATCAAGCATTAGAGTGACTGCAGTGGCAAACACCATCAGTATCAGCAAGACTCCTTTCTAGGGGGGCCTCCTGAGGCATGTCCCCAGGCAGTGGTCAGAGAGGGCACCACCCTTTGCCCTGGCCTGACAGCACAGAAGCAACTTATGTTGCCACAGCTGCAACGTCTGAGGATTGTCATATTGCAATGAACCCAGCTCCGTGTGTATAATCAGCTCAGCTTATCATGGCCAGAACTCAGGACTTTCACCACCAAACATCCAAGCTGCTACTGCTTCAGGGTGGAATATGCTCTCCTTGCAGCATCACTACTCATGGTTTGGTGCAAGCAAACACTGCTTCACAGACTCCCCAAAATGACAAGGTCCTGACTCAGAGAGTCCATATGGACTCCAGCAATAGACAGTGTAGATGAGTCTCACAGTAGCCACATCATTCCCTTATTTACATCTCTTCCTTGGACTCCTACCTGATATTATTTCATAGAATCATAGAATCAGTTGGGTTGGAAGGGACCTCTGAGATCATCAAGTCCAACCCTTGATCCACTACTGCTGTGGTTGCTAGACCATGGCACTAAGTGCCACATCCAGTCTCATCTTAAAAACCTCCAGGGACGGAGAATCCACCACTTCCCTGGGCAGCCCATTCCAATGCCTGATTACCCTCTCCGTAAAGAAATTCTTTCTAATATCCAACCTAAACCTCCCCTGCCAGAGCTTAAGACCCTGCCCTCTTGTCTTGCTGATAGTTGCCTGGGAAAAGAGACCAACCCCCACCTGGCTACAACCTCCTACCAGGGAGTTGTAGAGAGTGATGAGGTCTCCCCTGAGCCTCCTCTTCTCCAAGCTGAACAGCACCAGCTCCCTCAGCCTCTCCTCATAGGACTTGTGCTTGAGTCCCTTCACCAGCCTAGTTGCTCTCCTCTGGACCTGATCCAGGATCTCAATATCCTTCCTGAACTGAGGGGCCCAGAACTGGACACAGTACTCCAGGTGTGGCCTCACCAGCGCTGAGTACAGGGGAAGAATCACTTCCCTGGACCTGTTGGCCACACTGTTCCTGATACAGGCCAGGATGCCATTGGCCTTCTTGGCCATCTGGGCACACTGCTGGCTCACGTTCAGCTTCTTGTCAGTCCAAACTCCCAGGTCCCTTTTTGCCTGGCTGCTCTCCAGCCACTCTGTCACCAGCCTGTAGTGCTGCATGGGGTTGCTGTGGCCAAGGTGGAGGACCCGACACTTGGCCTTGTTGAACCTCATCCCCTTGGAATCAGCCCAACTCTCCAACCTATTCAGGTCCCTCTGCAGAGCCCTCCTGCCTTCCAGCTGATCAACACTCCCCCCCAGCTTAGTGTCATCTGCAAATTTGCTGATGATGGACTCAATCCCCTCATCTAAATCATCGATAAAGATATTAAACAGAACTGGGTCCAACACTGATCCCTGGGGGACACCACCAGTGACCGGCCGCCAAATGGATGCAGCACCGTTCACCACCACTCTATGGCCTTCAGCCAGTTCCTAACCCAGCACAGGGTGCCCCTGTCCAAGCCGTGGGCTGCCAGCTTTCCCAGGAGTATGCTGTGGGAGACGGTGTCAAAGGCTTTGCTGAAGTCCAGGTAGACTACATCGACAGCCTTCTCCTCATCCACCAGGTGGGTCACCTGGTCATAAAAGGAGATCAGGTTGGTCAGACAGGACCTGCCCCTCCTAAACCCATGTTGGCTGGGTCTGATCTCTTGTCCATCCTGTAGGTGCTGTGTGATTGCACTGAGGATGATCTGTTCCACCTTGCCAGGCACTGAGGTCAGGCTGACGGGCCTGTAGTTTCCCGGGTCCTCCTTCCGGCCCTTTTTGTGGATGGGCATGACATTTGCCAACTTCCAATCATCTGGGACCTCCCCAGTGAGCGAGGACTGTTGGTAGATGACGGAGAGAGGCTTGGCGAGCTCTTCTGCCAGCTCTCTCATTACCCTTGGGTGGATCCCATCTGGTCCCAAGCATAAAGATCCTACAGCATTTCATGCACAAAGATCACTACAAAGATCCTTCAGCACCAGTTTTGTCTTTCTGACTCAGTTACAATCTCTAATCACATTCATCAGTGAACATACTGGCTTCACCAGATCTTTGTTTAAGTTACAGAAAACACTTTCCCATGCTATCCTTTACACTCTGAAGGCATGCCCAGCTCCCCCATCTCTCCAAATCCTTCTTTTGCCAGAGTGCTTACAACGACCACGATAATCATCAGGTGGCTGGTGTGTTAAAATGCCCACCTATTCCACTGCTTAAGGACACTTTTCCTTATGCTCTTTCCCTGGCCTCCCTTTATCCAAACACAGCTCATTTTGGGATTGTTTAGCCTTGAGGAGGATCAGGCTATCACTCTGCAACCACCTGAAAGGAGGGTGTAGAGAGGTAGGGGTCAGCCTCCCAGGAAATGAGGGACAGGACAAGAGCACACAGTCTTAAGCTGCACCAGGAGGCATTTCTTCACAGAAAGGGTGATTAAGCATTGGAATGGGCTGGTCAGGGAGGTAGTGGAGTCACCGTTCCTGGGGGTGTTTAAGAAAAGACTGGATGTGGCACTTAGTGCCATAAATCTAGTTGACATGGTGGTGTTCAGTTATAGGTTGGAACTGGATGATCTCAAAGATCTTTTCGAGCTTAATCGATTCTGTGATTCTGTTATTTTCCCAAAAGCAACCTGTAACTTCATTGGGGTTGGGGGTATTATCCTTTTCTCCTGCATTCATACAGCCTCTGTGACAGTGGGATGCTGGTACTATGCTTCAGTAGTTCATCATGATGCAAAAAGGAGCCCAAAGCAGGTGTGCCTCAAGGCTCAACCACCCACTCTTCTCACCGGGCCCTTTTAGCTGGCCATTAGGCAGGGACTTTCCGGACTGGTGTCCGTATAGGAGCGAGGGAGGGCTCCCTTCCCCGGGAGGGAGGCTCTTCATGCGGGCAGGTAGGGTGCCGAGCAAGAAACATCCATTGGAAATGCCCTGATTTCACAGAATCACGGAACTGATCAGGTCGGAAGAGACCTTTGAGATCATCGAGTCCAACCTCAGACCGAACTCACCACCGTGTCAATTAGATCGTGGCACTAAGTACCACGTCCAGCCTTTCCTTAAACACCTCCAGGCACGGCTACTCCAGCACCTCCCTGGGCAGCCCATTCCAATGCTTAATCAACCTTTCTGTGAAGAAGTTCCCCCTGATGTCCAATCTGAACCTCCTCTGGTACAGCCTGGGGCTGTGTCCTCTTGTCCTGTCACTCGTTCCCTGGGAGAAGAGACCAAACCTCCGTCTGGCTGCACCCTCCTTTCAGGTGGTTGCAGAGTGACAAGGTCTCCCCCGAGCCTCCTCTTCTGCGGGATAACTTGGGACCCGCGGCCCCTCTGAAGGGCCACGGTCCCTCTGGAGCCGGGCTGGCCGGCGGGGGCGGCGGGGCCCTGCGCCGCGGTGCCCGTGGGATGCGGCTTTCGGAGGCTGCGAGGCGGTTCGCGTGAGGCGACCGCGGAAGCCCCTCAGGGCAGCCCCGACCCCGCCCCTGTGCCCGCCGTGCCCCTGTGCGCCGCCGCCCCGCTCCGGCCGTGGCCCTGGCTCCGCTGCCGCAGTTCCGGCGGCGGGAGGAAGCGCGGGGCCGCTCCGCTCCGCTCGCCGGGGGATGCGGGAGCGCTCCCGCCCCCGCGGGCGGCGGGAGGCGGGCGGCGGCGGCGGCACGGGCGGGGCGGAGGCGTCGCCCCGCGGAGAGCGGCGGGGGGACCTGGCGGAGGGCGGCAGCCACGGGCCGGCGATGGAGGAAGGTGAGGGGCGGCTCCTCAGGCCGCGGAGCCGGGCCGGGTGGAGGGCGGTCGGGGCCGGGCCGGGTGGAGGGCGGTCGGGGCCGGGCCGAGGCCGCTGGCCCAGGCCGGCGGCGTGTCCGCCCCTCGCGTCCGTGCCGAGTCCGTGCCGGGCCGGCCGCGCACGGGGGAGGAACACTGGGCTGCAGGGCACAGGCGGCCTCCCGGGCCCAGCCCGCCCCGGCGGCCCCTCGGGGCCCAGCCCAGCCCAGGGCAGCCCGTGGTTCGCAGCCCCAGGCGGGAGGAGGCCGGGCCGGTGGGAGCCCGGAGCCCAGGAACTCGTGAGATCTTTCTCCTCCCTCGCCCGGTGCTGCCTCTGGGCAGAACTCCCGGGGCTGCATCTGTGGGCTCCGTGGATGCCTCCATGAGTATGCTTTTTCTTTGGCATCCTTCCGTATGTTTTAGTCTCCTCTGCCGTTTCGTAAGCCATTAGAGAGCGTCCAAAGGAAGGCTATGAAGGTGGTGAAGGGCCTCGAGGGGAAGCCCTATGAGGAGCAGCTGAGGTCGCTTGGTCTGTTCAGCTGAGGAGAGACCTCATTGCAGTTACAACTTCCTCGTGCGGGGAAGAGCAGGGGCAGGCACTGATCTCTTCTCTGTGGTGACCAGTGACAGGACCCGAGGGAATGGCCTGAAATTGTGTCAGGGGAGGTTTAGGTTGGATATTAGAAAAAGGTCCTTCACCTAGAAGATGGTTGGGCACTGGAACAGTCTCCCCAGGGAATCCACAGCACCAAGGCTGCCACAGTTCAAGAAGTATTTGAACAATACTCTCAGGCACATGGTGTGACTCTTGGGGCTGTCTTGTGCAGGGTCAGAGTTTGGACTCAATGATCCTTCTGGGTCCTTTCCACCTCATGATATTCTGTAAATCTGTTTCACTTTTAGCCTCCACACAAGTATTTTTCTCGAGGTCTCTTCTGTCCTAATGCTCTTTGTGGGGACTAGGAGATGACATTTAGTTTTTCTTGTGGAAATCAGCAGAAACATAACTGTTAGCAGGCACCCAAAGAAATGCAAGAGCGAAGCAAGCATATGCGAATCTGTCCCATGGCATATTCCAGCGTCCCAGCTGTTCTCAGCTCGGGTGCTTTCTGAGCTGGATGTGGTTTCTGCATGTTTAGTAGTCTTCGGTTGTTTGTCCTCCACAAATGTGTCAGTCTTCTCTTGGATCTGTGTAAGCTCTTGGTTTACAGAACATTCTTTGAGTAGGAGTGGTGTACCTGAAGGTGATGTGCAATGAGCTAGTTCTTTTTAGCCTGACTCACTGAGTTTATTTGAGAACTTCTTGTATTAGAAAAGAAGGTGAATCACTGCTCTCTATTCAGCCTGTTGGTGCACTTCACTGGCTCATAGACATTTGGCATGTTTCTGTTGGTCATCCTCTTTTCCAGACTGAGGCATCCTCAACTTGTTTCCTTGTTCCTTGTATGGGAGCCATTGCCCAACTTAGATCATCCTCATGGCCCTTCTCTGAATTTTTCCCAGCTCTATCTTATCCTTCTTTAGGTGAGAGGATAAGAATTGCAGAGAGTGCTCAATTTTCAGGTGAAAAATTCCTATGTTATTCCAGATGAATATCATGGCATTCAGAAGCAATGAGTTATGCTTTTCTGCAGTAGATACATAAAAAATGTTGTCTGAACAAGAGTTGAAAAAAAATACACTTTGAACTTACAGGGAACTGGAAAGCAATCTCAGATGAAAAATTACATGCTGGATAGAGAGCTACTAGAGGTTGTGCCATCAGTTCAAAATTCTAGATAATTTTTATTTGTCACCTTGTTTGACTTTCATTTCATGCCATTTAAGGTATTCATAGAAGTGAAAACAAAATTTTTCTTGTTTGAGGCAGCTGCAGATAAAACAAAAGTAACATACTTGGCTCTTTCTGTGTTATTGCTTTGTGGAGGGGATTTGTTGGCCGTCATTCAAAACAGAAGTGAAAATCATTTACTGACTGAGATGCAGTTGTTTCAAAATTAGAATTTTAAATTGTTCTTTCTTTAGGAATTTTCTATTACTGCTGCTAACTCTAGACTTTATAAGTGTGTTACACTTCTACTATGGCTTACTTCTCTGCCAGAAAAGCAGAAGAAATGCATTTTCCTCAGTGTTCTCAGTGCTGTTGCTTTGGTCATAACTAGGATGACAAGGGCAGTCAGTTGTCCTTCCAAACACATATCTGCCCATTCTGGTGATCCAGGGTTTTCTCCCTACCCTGTTTTATTTTGTATTGTACAAGTGATTTTTAATTGCAGGGCACTTGGTGTTTGTCATATATATATACTTGTATACACATGACATGAAGTGATACTGGTGTACATTTGATTCTGGATTGGCATAATGATAAATGTGATACTGAACATCCTAATCCTTGTTTTGTTTAAAATCATTCCAGTTCTTGTCTTGTTTAATAAGGTAGACATTTTTTGTTCGTTGCATGAAAAATGTTATCATTGAGGTCTTGATTTGCTCAGAATAATTTATAAATTGCTCTGTTTACACACAGGCACCCTGATACAGGCAGACATTGCTTTAATAATTTATATTTCAATCTCTAGTTTCTAACTCTTAAATCTAATAGTTGGGAGTAAAATTAGACTGAATTAAGACTTGAAATAATATACAGCCAGAGTAATAAAAAGCTTTGTTGTGGGATGACACTTCAAATTTGAAGTTGGATGGCTTTATGAAAGAGCTGCTTTAAGTCCAGAATAAATTGGTGGCTACAAAATTTCAAACAATGTTGTACAGTGGGTCAAATGGGAGAGCTGAAAGTTCTAGAGCATGAGTTACAGTTAAACCTTTTCATCACCCTTCCAAAATGACATAAATATTGTGGGATATCTTTAATACAATAATTTTAAAATACTTTTTGCAATGAGTCTTTTTGTATGTAGACTTGCACTCTGAATAAGCCTCATTAGCTTTCAGACTGTAAAATAAGTGGATCAGAGCTTCAGACTGCTGCTGTTTACAGAAAACTTAACAGAAGCTGAGGAAGCTCTTGATCTTGTGATGTGATCTGTATAGCTGAGCAGGCTGGGCTTTTTAATTATATGTTAGACTAAATGTTCATAAATGTACTTAGTTCCAGTAGATCTGAAAGCAGGAAAAAAGTGATATTATATTTACTTAAAAAAACTTTTGCCTTATGAATGATAGGCAACTCAATTTAAAAGTAATGGAGTAGAGCAATTTTTGTATTACAGTAGTGTGCCTTGCACACTGCTATAGCTGTGTAGAACCAGGATGAGAGTAGAATGAAATTGCTCAATGTCTCCCAGTGTCTGCATCAGCTTATCTAAACTACTGATTTCCTTCATTTGTATAATACATTCATCATGAAATAAACCAGTTAGCTTCCAGTTTGGGTTCTGGGTAACCCCAGAGTATGACCTCAAGAGAATACTATTGTTTTTTCTAAGGAATAACATAGGAATTGATTTCTACATGGTGATATTGTTATTTTAGTTGAGCATATGACACACTTTGAGTCTTTGTCAAATATATCTTCCTTGGGATTGAATCAATAGCAATAACTGGCTGCTATCTGCTGCTGCGTGGATTTCTCAGAGTGAGATTTTAGGTATTGTGTTGCAGTAACTTAAAAAAAAAATGTCTTCAGGGGCAGCAGACCTGCGACAGAGAAAGAAACAAAACTGCTCAGAATCTGACAAAATGGCTCCAGAGCAGAGAAACAAAGAAAACTCAAAGCTGGGAAGATCGCCAAAATGTAAGCTACAGAATTTTTAGCAGACTTTTGATTTTTTTTTTTCATTACTCATTTACATTTTATGGGAAGATATTTGTAGCACAGTAATTTATAACAGACTTATTTTGAATTAGGTTTTTGAATGTTTCAAGAGAAAACAGGCATGCACATTAGAATTCTTTAATAATGACATTGTATGTATTGTGGAGTGAAATGGTAGTCTTGGACTGTTTCAGGCTGGGGGCCGGGGGGTAGAAGGAGAGGAGTTAACAATGTTACTGTTGTTACTATTTGAATACAAATAAATATATTTATTGCTCCTGGAATGATCTTTTGCTTGGGAAGCTGAGAGGCATGAAGTAATGGTACTGAAACAAGAAGACAAAAAGTCCTTACGGCTTTTCAAGAAAGAGAACTAAAACCAAGTATAATTTTAGGCAAGTGCTCACCAAACTACCAAAAACTTCTATGTTAAAAAGGAGCTACAGGTGAAGTAGATGCCTGTTGAATGAGTTTGGTAAAATTCAGATTAATTCCTTCTTCTTATATTTAAAAACAGAATGGAAAATTGAATGTCTCAGGAATGGTTAGATATGGTATGGCCACCTCTGTCTGTTAATGTCTTTAAGAAGGTTGTGGTGTTTTAGGTAGAATCTAGAGTTTGCTCTGTTTATGTGAAAGATGCTTTTCCTTCTTGGAATTCATTTGAAAACATAGCTTACTGAAATGGAGAGAAAATTTGCAGTGTAGTTTTTGAGTATTTTATCTGAGGGTCCTGTGAAGCAATGGTAACAACTGGGAAAGAAAGCTCTGCAGGACAGGAATAACATACCAGTTTTCGATGTATCTGTGCTGCTGATGGTGTGTTAATTCTGATTCCAGTAAGTTCAGTTGCTGTTCAGAAATGAGAGTCATGTGTAGGACATACTGGTTTTTTTCTAAATCCTCTGGACTATTTTAGCTTTCTCACTGTCCCTTTTCAGATATGTTAATCCAGCGTTTTGCAAAACTTTTCTTTGGCTGTCTGGCGGCAGTGACCAGTGGAATGATGTATGCTGTGTACCTCTCAACATATCACGAACGGAAGTTCTGGTTTTCCAGCAGGCAGGTAAAGATAAACTACTGAAACAAAAGCCAAATTGTGTCCTTGAAATCAAAGCTGATCCCTGTCAGGTTGGAACTACTTGCTTGCAGAATCCCATGTCCTTCTACTGAGACCTGTCTTTGATATAGTTTTTTCTTCTTTTTTTTTATTTTTATCTTCTTTCTTTCTTTTTTTTTGTTGAAGTATTTCTCCTGGTAACATCAGTTTTGACTTGTCATGCTTTTGTACGTTTTTCCGTGCCACCATTTATCATTGAAATATCTTTCTAAAATTTGGAGAAATAACTGAAGCATACTGGGATTGCAAAAGCTAAGCAATACGAATATGTGTTGGGCTTTTTTTTTTTTTTTTGTCATTGGTTTGGGGTTTTTTTTGTGTTTGTTTTTTGATTTGGGGGTTTTTGTAGTTGTTTTTTTGGATTTTGTCTTTTTTAAGAACTGTGTTATTTAGTGAAGTATGGAAAGTTGAATGACATTCAGGTTTTTGAATATGAAAGGATCCTGTGGATTTAGTGCTAATTTACGATGTGGATTTGAGTTGCTCTGATTCCAAGCATGTTTGCTAAGTTATAGAGAGCAATATGTACCTGACAGAAGTGCTGTGAAGATTAATGTTTTGTGGAGTACTTTGAAGATGTACAGTGGAGTCATAACCATGTCCTGTATTACAAAACCAGTCTCTCTGAAAATATATAGTCTTCTCTGAGAAGAGATTCCAGGAGGTGAATATTTTTTTTTTTTCTAGGAACTTGAACGAGAAATTACATTTCAGGGTGACAGTGCCATTTATTACTCATTCTATAAAGAACTGCTAAAGGCTCCTTCTTTTGAAAGAGGTACAAAACTCATTTGTTTCATTAACTTTGAAAAGTCCTGTTCCTTTTGGAGACAGTAAAAAACTCCTGCAGGCTGGGGGGACTGATTTTACGCTCTTATATAGGTGTATCAGTTAGATTAATTAAAAGCCACATGCTGTCCTAACTTTTCAGTGCCTTTTAAAAAACAGCATTTACCTATCCTGTAAACAGTATTTAACTATTCCAGTGGATTACCTTTAATCAGTACTCTAGTACAGGGTTAATATTGTTCTCATATTGCTCTGTATCAAAGTTATCGCTGCGTTTGTCCGTGCTACATGGTGGATTTTCTGCCATGCAAACATAATTTATGTTGGGTTTTGGAATGGGGGGTGAAAAGTACTGTTTTCCATGCTCTGTCAGAAGATGGAACTGTTTCTGGCACGAGCTGATCTGGTCCATCCTGTCCCTGCCAGAAGTTTTTACTCTTGTCAGCTATGATGAATAGATGCTGATGAGGACTGAGTGAGGGGACAGGAAGGAGAACAGACCGGGTGGCAATGATCTCTCCTTCCTTTGCACTCCTGCTCGTTATCCTGCACTGGCTCTGGAGCTCACTGATCCTAGGTCCCTAAACAAGCAGAAAACTAATGCAATGAAAAGGAGGAGCACTTGCTAGCTCCATGAGTTCAGAAGTGCACCTGGCCTGGCATGGGGAAAAGGCAAGAGCTCAGGAGGGAAGAGTGAGTGAACAGCCCTATCTCACTCAGTTATAAGTCCTGCAAGACCTGGTTTGGCCTACAGAGACCCAACTGCAGCCCACACACAAAGATATGCTCAGAGATGGAAACAGTTGTCTGGTTTGGCTGTTGCATTGGTTTTGAGGCTTTTGTTCTCCCCCACACTGCGATTTGGATTGTTTTTCATCTTCCCTCTATTGTCCTAAGTATTGACAAGTCTTTTCTTTAAATATAACATTTTAGAATGATGTGTCCTTCAAGTATGCCAGCTTCAATTTCATCTCAACCCCATAGAAAGACATATTGTGTTCAGTAAAGGATTCTTAGAAGCCTCAGAAATGGGGGCTGAAAAGGATGATGAGGCTGTCATACCTGACCTCCTTCTGAAGACGGGTTTAATACATCCTGCTCATCCCTGTTAGATCTGTCTCACATCTTAAGAACCTCTTGTGAAGGTGATCTGTAAGTAGGTAGTTCCAGGGCTGCATCAGTACATTACTGAAAGACTGTGCTTCAGATGGTTGCTAGATCAGTAGGGTGGAATGGCACCTGACACAGAAATTTCTCCTTCCTTTAAAATTACATCTTTGAATACACTTTGACCTCCTTTAAGTACAGCAATAGTAAGTGAGTCTAAGAATAATATTTTTTTTTTGTCTGTAGGTGTTTATGAGTTGACACACAACAATAAGACAGTATCACTGAAGACAATAAATGCAGTCCAGCAAATGACTTTGTACCCAGAGTTGATTGCCAGTGTTTTATATCAAGCATCTGGTAGCGAAGTATGTGCATTTCTCCTACTTTCTGTGTTTTCATTATGGTTGTGTCTGTGTGCGAGAGAGACTTTCTATGCTGTATACAATGAACACGTGCATTTTTTGCTGAATGAGCTGAGCTAAGCCTCTCACCACGTCCAGGTTCTCCTCAATTCTGATTAGTCTCTGGCATAGGATTTTGGGGGTTTGTATGCATTAAACTTATCTGTTATTCTTTGCTTCTACAGAGTGCTTAGAAATGTGGGGAATGTCTGTGCTATCCATTAAAAACAGGAAAGTTAGCTCCTTTGGAGTACAGAAGTCTGTCATAGTGGTACCTGTCTGCCCATTCTCCTAGGGAAAAACACTTCCGTAGATAAACCTTTTGTCAATTTCTGCTCTGCTCGGGCTTTGTTCTGCTTATGCTGCATACTTGTGTCCTCCCTCATTTATCTTTCTTTTTTTATTATTGATTTATTTTGGAACCATTTTTGCCACATCTTTACTTCTCCAAGTTCCTCCCCCACATAACTTCTTTCAGTAGTCCTGTGAACTTTATATCCCACTGTAGTATAGATTTATTAAATCTGATAACAGCTACAATGTTCATGCTAAAGCAAATACAAAACTCATGGCAATAGCAAGCTGAGTCCTGAAGGGTGCGCTTATTTCACACTGCTTTGTTCTTCCTCAACCCCAAATATAAGCATGCCCAATACTTTTCTAGGAGACATCTCTTACCTGTTTGTAAAGCACCTAGCACACTGTTAGCAGTAACAAATAGTAAATAGTAATAATTTCCAGCTTCAGCTCAGTTGCCACTATGTCTCTTCGTTTTTATTTGTAATTTCAGGAAGTTATTGAACCAGTGTATTTCTACATTGGTATAGTTTTTGGACTGCAGGGAATTTATGTGACTGCATTGTTTGTAACCAGTTGGGTTATGAGTGGGACTTGGCTGGCAGGAATGCTGACTGTAGCATGGTTCATTATTAACAGGTAAGAAAAACATCTTTATACAATCTAGTTTGTCAATAAGGCATTTTCAAATATTAGACCGGATTGAAATGCTTTCTATTAAGCTTTGTGTTCTCACTGTGAGAGCAGGATCTTATGCTGAATACAAAATGTTTTTGAGAGATTCATTGATTCTCATGATGATTTTATTAATGGAAAGGCCCCTTGTTGTCCAAACCACCCACGCTGCCAGTTGAACTGACTTTATGTATGTGTGCGAATACAGGAGCGTGCACACACGATTTCATTTGTCAAAAACATTCCCCAGAAGGTTTTGGTTTTGTCCTGGTGAAGAATGAAAACAAATGTCCAAAACAGCTGTAAACGGAATTGCTCTCTCTGGCCAGTTCTAAATATTGTGATGGTTGTCCTGTTGCTTAGAAGGAAATGATCCAAGTGCATTTTTCTTGCAAATAATATTTGATTTTTTTAATATTCTTTTCGTAGTGGATTTTTCTGTAAAGTGGAATCTTCTCGGATGATCTTGATCTCAAGATTTTTTTATTTTAAAACAATTCACTTGGAAGAAAATGTCCCTTCCCCTTATGAAGCACCACAATAATAGGGAGCCTCATTTGGGCAATGAGAACCTATGTTGAGGCTCCTGGTTTGTTCACCAAGTAGCTCTGGGGCTTTCTGTGAACTTGAGAGCACTTGAAATAAAAGAACTGTGGAGGAGCAAAATGTTCTAGATATATCTTTAAAGTTGAACTGTTGGGAAGCATCTTCAAGGAGTGTGAAGTCATCATGACCGAATCTGTGATTAGTAGCTAAGAATAGTGTTCATTACACTTGTGTAAACAGTGGAAAGTAGGAAAAATGGTGAATAAATCTGTAATTTTTTCAACAGCAAAGAAGATTAAACAATGTTAACGAAGTGAAAGATGTAGTAGTTAGAAAAGCTCCAAATACACCTCTGTAAGAGGCTTCGGAGGAAAAAATGAAAGGTGATGCTTTCAAATGTCTAAATGATAAAGGAGCTTAAGGCTTCCTTTTAAAGGCATAGTAGACACAAAGAAGACTATGTACCTCTGAAACTGATGCCTTTGATCACTTTTGAAACCGTTAGTTGTGCTTCTAAGTCACTTTAGCACTTTTTAAAACTTTCACCTACTCCTCTAATTATGTGGATACTGTCAAGTCATTCCATGGGAAAACCCTGCATGCTCCTCATCCGTCTTTAATCTCTTGTTTTGCTGGGCAGAATTTTCCCTGTAGACAAAATATCTGCTGCTGCTGCTGCTGCTATGAGGGAGCACCAGTTTGTATTCTAAGTTGTGCTCAACCACCTGAATCACTTGTTTAAAACATACTGTATGAGAACTGAAAGGAATCTTTTCTCTCAGCTGTGAGCTGATTTTCACTGTAATGTGAAAAGCTGCTGCCAGGGCAGCGGTTCCCTGCCTGGGGGTCATAAGAGCATTTAGCACTCCTCAGTTGTCCCTATGCAGGTTGGCAGAAGCAGTGTGTGACACATCCCACTTGGAAGTGTTGAGGCAGGTCAGAAAAGGCTGGAGGCAGATGCTTTTTGGCTTCAGTGCTATAAATGCCACCTAATAAGGAGACCTGCTGAATAGATGAGTAAAGGTTGGGCCTTCCGTGCTGTTATTAAATGTGACCTGTATCTGTGGTGAAATTGTGTCAGTGTTACACCAAAACCGGGAAAAGTTTGCTTACAAGGCCACACTGATGGCTAGAAGTGACGTTTAGGCTTTCCTTGATATCTTTGCTCCATAAATATTTTAATAATTTTGTTTCTCTGTACTTTATTCTAGGACAGATACAACAAGAATTGATTACTCCATACCATCAAGGGAAAATTGGGCTTTGCCATATTTTGCATGTCAAGTAGCAGCTCTCACAGGCTATTTAAAAAAAAACCTAAATTGTTCTGCTGAGGTAAAGCAAAATTAGTTTCTTAACAAAGAGTTGCTGGTAGAACTGTGCTCTAGGGTAGTTACCCCTGCCACTGTTGCCTTTCTAGGCAGAAAACAGTAGATGCTTTGTTTGTTCTTTTCAAAACAGTCACTTGGATTTCACCTAGGCATGTGCAGTTTTTGCTAGGTGACTTGTGCCCTGCCCTGCTATGCCCCCGTGAGGGTTCAGAGAGAACAATGTCGTAATGAGCTATGTGCTGTCCTTTTTTAAATAAATTGATGCAGAATTTTTTTCACTGTGTAAACTGTTTTGTTGCTTTTACTGTTGCTTGGAGAAGATGGGGTTTACTTCATTACCCTGTCTCTCTGTCAATGATGTTTCTTCTGGTTAACTTTAAATGTTTTTGAATGTTTCAGTAATTAATTTCTTCCAACTGAGAACATGTTGAATACAGTTAAAGTCAGTATTTTAATTATTTTCTAAAATAATAATTAATTTCCATAGTTAATGTTTTAATGACCTCCTAGTTACTTAGCGACAGAGATACATAGGTACAAAACTAATGCTTTTTCTTGTTTTTCTTTTTTTTTCCTAGAAGTTTTGTTATCTTTTGGTGAATGCTTCAACATATACCTTCATGATGATGTGGGAATACAGTCATTATCTCCTGTTTGTGCAGGCTGTTTCTCTTTTCCTGCTAGACAGCTTTGCCCTGGCACAGACAGAGAAGGTACTGGAACTTTTCAGCCCACTGATAGTTGGGGACTTATACACAGCCTCTGAGGTGCCTGTCATACAAACTGTTCAAGGCTCCAGAGGGCACAGACTGAGGGACGAGTGTCTTGCAGCCTGGGCCCAGCTGAAGCTCGTGTCATCAGAAGAATAAGATAGCTTTAAACTGAGTCTCTTTTGGTCTACTTGTTTTGGGACAGCTTTCCTAACAAAAGGGTCAGAAGCTAAACAAAGCTTCTGAGACGTGAAACATCCTTGGAGAGCTAAAGGAGTGATGAATGATACTCCATTTTGGCCTGGCTGCCTCTTCCTTACCTTCCCTTAATCACGGCAGGGTGGGGCAGACCAAAAAAGTGCTCTGTTGGCTCTATGGAGTTAAAGGGCTCGTTTTCACCCCAAATGGCCCACCTTGCACTGATTTAGACAATAAATAGACTAGACAGATGCTGAAGGCCAATTGATTTTTCAATGCTAGGAAGTATTTGAATTTATTCTGCAAAATGGTTCTTAGAAATGTTGCAACAATAAGGCATTTTAATTCTGCCTGTTGCAGAATAAAATGCAACAGGTATATATACTCTTTTGTACATGTGTGCCTTCTACTTTTATTAGCTATCCATCTGCACGCAATTCTAATTTGTCACCTCTTTCAGTTGCCTTTTTTTTTTTTCTGTTCCTCAGCAGTGGGAAGTGCTTGATCTATAAGATCTGCTTATCAAATAGTAAATAACAGAAAGTATCAGTAACAATCTGAGTACTCCTGAATGAATGTTAATGAACAAGTTACTTTGAGGGCAAGGAAAGGGCCTGTTTGCAGGAGTCAGCTCTGTCACACAAATTGTGTGTTCTTACTGGTGCATTGTGGTTACTGCTTCATGCTGCATCACAGCAAGGTGTTACAGAATGGGGAGACATGGTAAAATACTCCCACTTCTGGCATTTTTACAGAGTTCTTGTGAAGTAATTGTGCACTAGTTACTGAGGCTGACCAGTATCGTTTAGATGTGAAATAGTTTCCAGAGCCAAATGGTACCCTGTAGACTCGAGCTGGAGGATCCACATCCATTAGTCCCCTCATTAACAGAGAAATGAGCTACTGCTCTAAAAAGCAAGATGTATATCCACTATAGTTTTGTTTTATTGTGGTTTATTTCTTTTCTTCAACAGGTGCATGAAGTATACAAAATCTACCTGTTTTCTCTCTTCTTGGGGTACCTTCTGCAGTTTGAAAATTCAGCCTTATTAGTGTCACCATTACTCAGTTTTGTAGCAGCTTTAATGCTCTCTAAATGCCTTCAGGTAACTAGACCCTCCTCTGGGTGTAGTTTGAAAATTTAAACTGAACTCCAAATGATACAGCATTCTTAAAATATTTTTGCAGATGAATATGAAAAAAGGTACATTTATGTCAAGATTGCTGAAAGTAATGTACATTTATTTGGTACTTACAGTGGCAGTGACACTAAACTTCTTATTAAAGGTAAGATTCCTCTGTAAAAAGTGATTTTAATTGTCAGGATCTAAATGGAAAGTTGCAGATATATCTTGAAAAAATCTTTTGAAATGTTTCTTATCATATTGATATGATAGTTCATAGCTTAATTCATAACAAATAAGAGTACTGAAAATGAAGTAATTTTGTATCTATATAAAAACTTTAGCAACTCAAACAGCTGTCTTTTTTTGGGGTTTTGGTCTTTTGGGTTGAAACATAGTATGGAAATACTCTTTAAATCACACTTTATCTTTTTTATATATATGGGTTTTGTTATAACTTGGATGGACCCTATGAACTGGTCTGAATATTAAAACAATATTCTTGTGCATGGAGGCACAGTAGCAAGGAACAAGTGTGAGTAGTCTCAGGGTAGATAATTTCAATTAAATTTCAAGTAGAACATGGGAACAGAAACTTTCACTTTGTGTAGGGGTCAGCTAGGAGTTGAGTTAGCACAATAGGATTTTAACTTGGTCTTATATTTTAATTAGCAATTCCCTTTTGCTGGCTCTAGTCTTTTACATATTTTATTGTACTTTTCCTCTATGTTTCAAACTCACCTTGGCTGTATTAATTAACAGTATTGACTTAAAACTAAAGAAACTAGTGAACCCTAAAAAGTTTGAAAGAATGCTCAGATATGATTGTTTTCTTGGGTCAGATTGACTAGCCTTGCTGTATCTCCAGGAAAATAAAACCTAACCTTGAAAACTACGAGTTAAATTACAATTACGAGTTAAGTTGCAGAACTTTAGGCTGCTCAGACAATCTCTGTGAAAATTACAAATGCTCATAACTTTTGCTAAGCTGCAGTCCTATTTTCCAGTGGAGCCAAGCGCAGCACTCTTTGACTTCCTTGGGAGTAAGTCTGTGTCTGTTTTTCATGATCCTTTTTACACTGCTCAGTAGTCTTTGGGCAACTTATTGTCAGCTTTTCACTGGCCCTCCTGTTGGAGTACATGAACAAAATGAAGAGAATATTCTGAAGGAAACCCTAAAAATAGATTTACTGAAGTGAACATTTACAATACTCTACCAGTACCTAGTCGTATGAGAAGTGACTGAGGGAGCTGGGGTTGTTCAGCCTGGAGAAGAGGAGGCTCAGGGGAGACCTTGTCACTCTCTACAACTACCTGATAGGAGGTTGTAGCCAGGTGGGGGTCGGTCTCTTCTCCCAGGCAGCCAGCAGTAGGACAAGGGGACAGAGTCATAAGGTGCACCAGGGGAGGTTTAGGTTGAACATTAGGAAAAAGTTCTTCACAGAGGAAGTGATTGGGCATTGTAATGGGCTGCCCAGGGAGGTGGTGGAATCACCGTCCCCGGGGCTGTTTAAGGAAAGACTGGATGTTGCACTTAGTGCCACGGTCTAGTTGACAGGGTGGTGTTTGGTCAGAGTTTGGACTCAATGATCTCAGAGGTGTTTTCCAACCTAATTAATTCTGTGATTCTTAATTGTCACACTTAATCCACTTTGTTAGTTTTAGCTAAATCTTGAATAGTTTATTGTTTCCTGACATTTTATGATCTGAATGACTATGTGAAAGCTGCTTCCAGCATTTCATATGATTTTTCTCTGCTAAATTAATTTTCAGATGTTTGTTCCTTATAAAGAAAATGAGCATTTGCTGAAGTTCATTGAAGTAAAACTTGGATTAAACACAACTAAGTAAGTTTTTTAAACTCTTTACACCTCCCAAGATATCCAAACATCTGAGGCTGCTCTGAGAAGTGTAAAATTTCAATGTCTTGTGACAATTTTACAGAGGAGCTAGAGAAACAGTTTTAATATCGAATTTAAAAATATACAGAATTGACTTAGGATTTTGAGATTTCCAAGGCACCTCACTATTTTTCATACCTTGAGGTGAAAGCATTTCATGGATTTTTCTTCTCTTGTGATGTTGAAGAATGAAAACTTTCTGTAGCCTGTCTAGTGTTTCTAGACTTGAAAGCAAAGATAATAACGTAAAGGTGGCAGTAATAGCTTTTTATAGCCTGGAAAAGAAAAGGCTCTGTAAAGAGTTCATGAACTATCAATGCTATCTCCAAACATGCTTGCTTTATGGGGTGCCCCTGAAACCCCCCTGTATGTTTTGGAAGAAATTAGGACAAGGGACACCCTAAAAGTCAGAGGGAATTGTGATTCTAAGAAAAACCATTAGTGTCTGTAAAAGAGTTGAATGTTGTTCTACAAGAAGATGTTCATGGCTACAGATTTTCTGGAAAACTTCCAATGGAATATTAGTAAGGACTGAGACACCTCCTGGATGCAAGCCAAGACTTGCAATTCTGTGCAGGAGTTGGAACTCTCGCCTGGAAGCTGCATCTCTCTTACAAAACTGCTTCACAGCCTTTCAGGGGAAGAAGTGAAAAATGATGTCACACACGACTGAAATTGTTGGGGATTTTTTGGAAGATGAGGTGTAGTGACGTTGGCTAAGATGCATTTTTTAAACACACAACACATCCTCATTCTTAAGTGTTTTGCAAGAAAAGAAAGGACTCTTGGTCAGGATTTCAGTTTATTCAGCTACCAAGTGTTACAGATTTTCTTTTTTTTTCCCCTGCGGACTTGCTACATGTCAATTTTCAAGCTGTCAAACCCTGCAATGAAGCCTGAGACTGAGACAAACTGGGTGCAATTACGCCTAGAGCACTGTGTAACTGTGAGTTGAAATTATGGTTTGCTGCACAAGAGCTTCAAGATCTGTCTTTTAGGGCCAGTTCGGACATACCTAGCTGTTAATCTTTAAATTTATTGCATCTAATTGAAAGTGATTCAGTCCTCTAGTCTTCCCTTGGGGGAAAATAAAAGGAGGGAGAGAAGCGAAACAAAGTAAGAGAAGAATGCATTCACAGAACCACGTGCTGCACCAGTTCCACTTGAGAATATGACTGGTAGTGCTTATTGGCAGACTATATAATCTTCCTGCTCGTTAATTGAGAAAGAAGAATGATCAAGTAGGTTCGGCTACAGAACTAGAATTTCAGCATTAAGGATTCTATTCTTGGCAGTGCCTCAGGCTTGTTTGTGATCTCAGATGACCACTTTTCCTTCTTCATCTCCTTGTTTGAAATGAGGACAAGCATACCTTCTTGCATCAGTATGTCTAAGATCTTAATCCACTGTGACAATGAAGTGCTTTGTGGTTTCCATAATGGAGTTATATGGGAGTTTGGGCTTTTGTGCTATGAAAGAGTTGTAGCCTGGTCTCTTCACATCACAGATAATTTTTGGGAAGATAAGCTTTTGACAGTTACTCTAAACAGTATTGCAAAGCAGTTTCAAATGATAAAAAGTTAACTTTTCAAAGATGCGTTTAAAATAGTTTCCTATGACATGAGTAGGTTAAACTATGATTGGTTGAGTGCTGGGTGTTTTTTTTTTCTAATCTGTGGGGTATTGTTATTGTCTTTAATGGGATGTTTTTGCCTTACTAGGAATTTTACAATGAATTGGCTCCTTTGTCAAGAATCTCTTCAGGCACCTTCCCAAGACTTTTTTTTGCGACTAACACAGTCATCACTGTTGCCTTTTTATATTTTAGTATTAATTATTTGCCTTTTTTCTGTAACTCAGGTCATTTTTAGGAGAATTTGGTAAGTAACTTATTTATACTGAAAAATAAGTTAAAAATAAGAGTTTCCTTGATGTCTAAGGGAATGGTTATCATGTTTGTTGCTCCAAAATTTGTTCTACCATTGAGCTTGTCAGGGTGTGAGCACCAGTGGGAAGGCCCACCAGAGCCTCCTAAAGAAAAGTCCTTTAGTGAGGAGCTTCTTGAGCATCCCTCCAGTCAGGACAGGGAGTTGTCACTGGTTTGTTTCCCCGTAGGTGCAATTCCTGCAGAACTTTGTTTTGGGATATACGTATGTCTCTTCCCATTGCCAGAGAGAAAAATGTTATATCTGTGCTACGGTTCCAACAGCAAAGCTACCTGATTGTTTCTAGAATTTTTTTCTCTTTTGGGTTTGGGTTTTTTGTTTTTGTTTTTTTCAAGTTTACATGTGAGAAGAATGAGACGGGTGGAGTTGAGAGGATTTGTGATTTCTAATGCTTCACTGTTTGTTTTTTAAAATGCTGGCTTATTGTGATAGGGTCCATCAGCTTTTGCTGTTGAGAACAGAGCTGAAGTAAAACCAACTCAATTATTTTTAGTTTCACAGTGATTCACATTCACAGTTCCCTTGAGAGAAGGGGTAGCGGAGCTGTCTGTTTACAGACTAAGAATAGCAACTGTAAATCCTACTGTAGCTTGTCTTGGAAACTCAATGACTAGGAAATTATCTTTGCCTGGTAGAAGATGAACGGTGTAACTGCTCAGGTATTAGAACAAATTGTTCACTTGTCTGCAGCAAAAATCAGTAGGTTTATTTCAAGAATGAAGATTTCTAATAGATAAAAATTATGCTGCTGTGAATGAAAATGCCAGGTCAGATGTATACTGGTATATTCAAAACAATGAAGCAAACTTCTGATTGTTTGCTAGTGGTTGAAATAGCTATTTACTACTTTATAATAAGCAGCGACTACACTATGTCCAACACCTTTTTAAAGAAAAGCTTAATATAAACCTTCTCCCCCCTCATTTTTTTTTTCAAATTTTGAATCAATTAATAATCTCAAAATATTTTTCCATTTGTCATGATGAAGTTTATTATAAAATTCTAACCTGAAATCATATGGTAGAAAAATATGTTACCTGTCTTATGCATTGCTATCTTGTTTGTAGAAAAACATTTGTTGTAAGATTTTGGTTGTGATTTTTAGTTATAATATATTGTTAGAATTTAGAATACGTGACTCAAAGCTACTTTCATTATCTTTCTTTGTCATAAAATGGTATACACATTCCAAACACAATTATCCTACAGATTCCATAATTCTTCACCAAGCTAATGATATGAAGAAACTTTAGATGCACGTTCAGCATGCTTCATCTAAATGTTTGCGGAGTCTGCCTGCTCTTAAATTAGACTGCCTCTTGTGCTGAATTACCTTAAAATAGGATTTACGGTCATAGACAGTGATCCCATTGTAACAATTTGCAGCCATTGCTCCAGAGAGGTTGCAATCTAAAACAGGGGACAGTAGGTACTGATAGATCATTGATTGCATACAAAAACCAAGGAAACAGTGCAACTATATTGTATGATATGACACAATATGATCTCAGTGTACTACTGACTTAAATGTATTTTTATTGACACCTTTGCCTGAGATAATGTCTGAATTAAGTGATATCTCATTTTCTCCAACTGCAGTGGTGAACCACTGAAAGAGGCAGTTAAACTTGAGGATGGTCGAATTGGAGAGAGGCCAGAAATAGTTTATCATGTCATTCACACAATTTTGCTTGGTTGTCTAGCAATGTGTTTGGAAGGGTAAGTCTGATTTTAATGTATCTCTTTTGAAAGCAACAGAGAGTTCCTAATTGGACACGATACACCATTCACCCCTTTGAAATTTACCCCTTTTCAGAAATCATTTTGGCATGTAGTGGTACTAGTTAGTAGAGGAGCAGTCAATGATAATTGTGATTATAAATTTGATACAATTGTTCTTAGTCTCTTTAACATGTTTTTCAAGCTTTAATGTAGCCAAAATCCAAGACTTGAATTTAATTACATTTTAATAACTTTCTTTACAGTATTTAAGTGTAGAACGTTTCTATAATTATTTTTAATATTGTATTCTAGCAAGATCTTGTGTAGTGTTTTGATGAACAGAGTAGTTCTGGAATACTGACATGTAGAAGATTTCTTACGTGTCTTCTTGTGTGTAGCCTACCACAAAGTATACCTTTGCTTGACATGTTAAAGCAGTAGAAAAACTAATTTCAAAAGTATTGTGTTAGTTCTTAAAGCAACAGAAGCTGATGTTTGGAAGACATTATTGTTCTAATCTTGTCTCTCAGCTTAATCAGCTTGAAGGTGTCTTGTATTTGTATTATGCTCATCATCCTAAAATCTAAATACTCACAAATTCTTAAAGTGAGCAGACTGTTGTGTTATCGTGTAGTTGAGCTGACTAGTCTACTCTTAAGAGGCAGACAACACCAGCAAATCATAAATTGTTTATTAAATATTTTCCTTTCCTTTCTTCAGGAACTCTTATAGTACATTGTCTGTGCAGCTTTGCTGAATAGCTGCTTTTTGTCCTTTCTTGGCTGGAAAACCACAACAGCCAAGTGACTTTACTATTCCCTTTGTTTTTCTTTCATCCTCCCCTGAACTCTATGAAGGATTTTGTCATCTTTTACCTTGGATCTTGCTCCTCCATCTCACAGCAGATAATCAGGTGCCTGCTCTTCTGCTAGAGATTTCCTTGGTTTACCCTTCAGTGCCATCAAAGTTGACCTCAGGTTACTTGAACATCCAGATGGTGTTTTACATGTGAAAAACATCTAAATGTTTTTTATAAATAGCTTGAGTGCAGAGGCATGCACAGAGTCCCAACTAAGTTATTGCAGTGTTTTTCAGAATGAAATATCTATGGACACCTTATGTTTGCATGCTTGCTGCATTTGGGGTGTGTTCTCCTGAACTTTGGATGACGCTTTTCAAGTGGCTTCGACTGAAAGCTGTGCACCCGATACTGCTGGTGAGTTACTGTTGCCAATGTCCTGGGAAATATAGGTAGCAAGCATATAACTTTGCAAACAGTTAACTAAGACCTGTAGAAGAGCCCATGAAAAGAACATGTTGTTCTGTGAGCAGTGGATCTCATATAGTCTGCTTTTTCTGGGTCTTTCATTGGTAATATCACTCTTGCACATGTTGTCTGGTACCTGGTGATAAAGTTGCGTTCACACTGCAGCCTTTCCTCACAAGAAGCAGAGCTGTCTTCATCTTCCTTTTGCTCATCTCTTTAATTTCTTTTAACAAATCTTGGAGACCTCAGTCTCTCTGTCATATCTAGTTGAGATTGGCCAAGAAGGTCATGTGCTTTTTAGGAGGAATGCAGGAGAAAACAGTACAGGTGTGCAGGCAAGCATTGATATAAGCCTTGTTTTACTAAGAAATTAATCTTAAAATGTGGTATTAAGATGTATTTACTTGCTGAGAGTAAAGCTGCTTTGTAAGAAATGATAAGTGGAATTACTTTGTGTAAGATTTGTTTACCTGTGGCCATTGTAGAGAAATGGCGTGACTGAAGATGAGCTTGTGTTACAGTGCAAACAACTCCCCTGCTTCCAACCCTAACTTTATTCTCAATATGACAAGAGTTGCTTTGTGTGATTTTTAGCAGCTTTGTGCATTAGTTTTATTAATGAAATAAGGATAGGATATTACTTACCTTAAATTCAAGAAGCTTATAGGAATAAATATATTATGCTTAGAGGTTCACAGTGTCCCTTGTGAAAATGCTGTTATAATTCTGTTATATCAGAAACATTGACAGTGTTCTTTCAATCAAGGAGTACCAATATGTTCATGTACATGGTAAGCACATTCTTTTGTGTACCTCATGCATTCTGTTATATAGACCTGCTTTTTTACTATTAACACAGTAGGTGTGTTAGTAGCTTATTGTCAGGGGAATGCCTTCTGTGTGTTCCTTAACAAATGTTTCTTGTACCATACAAGCTATTTTCACCTTTTTGCAAAGCAAAAATTAGATCAGCTAGAATGATGGTGTGCTGAAAAAATGGGTTTCTGGGTTTTGCATATCAATATTGTTAATCTGAACAAAAGCATCAACGAGGGCAGAAGTTTGAAATGCTTGGGTTTTTCCTGTCTCAGATTTTCTCATTGCATTTGAATGTGAGGTATTCACTTTTCTTCTGTTCCCTACATCATTGTTATTTACCATCCCTAAAACTGATGGTAAAGTTATCATGGTCAAATTAATTCATCTCTGCTAAATTATGAAAATTCTTCTTTGCAGAGAGTTTTTTGCTTGGCAAAACCCCACTAAGTTTCACCTACTGTCACACTAAGGTTTCAGGCATAAATGTTGCTTACTATATGAGTAGAATCAACAGACACCTCAAGGTTGGAGAACAGTGCATAATGCGTTTCTTCTAACATGTACTTTCTAGGCTCTTATTCTGAGTATGGCAGTTCCCACAATAATTGGATTCAGCTTGTGGAAAGAGGTAAGAAAAGTACCTCTGTGAAGGTTTTTTTGGTTTGTTTTTTTTTTTTTTGTATGTAAGCACAATATGAGTCAAAATGATGAGCAAATATAATATACTTAGTGAAATGAAATATATATAATGAAATTGAAGTTGTCATCCACTGAAAATATGTTCTATTTTTAAACAAAACTGTTTACTTTTTTCAGTATGAGGTATTTGACAATTTAGTTTGTTAATGATTACTTATTGTAATAAAGAAGTTTTTAAATTTAAATGAAGACTTTGTTATATTCAGCTATTATGCTTTGGATATATAAACTGACTCAACAAACAAAATACTGCCAAATAAAATCTTAAAATATTGAAAAATGTGTTGTCCCAATCTTGGTTTTAGTGAGAGGGAGTGAGTTTAGATGAAATAAAATTATGGGAGGCCATATGTAAATAATCAGTTTGAAAAGTTCCCATCAAATTATAATGGAGTTAAATCCTTTGTGCAGAGCACTGTGTAGAGGTGTGTATATACAACAGTACAGGGAAGAAAATTTACAGATGTTTCCATGTTTAAAATAAACACTTAGTTCTTTATTGCAAGTCACAGATGGACTGAGAGGAGAGTGTTTGGAAATTACTTTTTAAATTTCTGTGAGTCCAAAAAACATGGGAAACATTCCATAAAGTATAACCCTCTGTTATACTGGCATAGCTTCAAAATAGTTAGTTTGAATAGTTTTATAAGAATTCAAATATAGAAGCCAGACTTGGCCAACAGTGTTTGAACAGGTTTTGTAACGTCTATCTTATAATAGAAAGTTTGATTGCAATGTAATCTGACCTTTTACACACTTTTGATGGAGCAATAGATATTTTCCTGAAAAATGCTGCCATTGCTCAATAGAATTATGAATTCTCTTACAACAGAGGAAACTAGTTTAGTTGACCAAATAACATTTTCTTTTTCAGATTTTTTTAATGAAAGCAGTGTAGGGGTTTGGACTCTAGAGGGCTTCAGCCATTGCAGATCCAGTTTCTGCTTTTAAGCAATGGTGAACAGTTTGCTCTCCAGATTTTCATAACTTATTCCTGAGCTTGGAAACTTTGATTAGTAGTAACAGAACAGCGCAAATGCCTTGTGACCCCTAATCTATTACTGTGGCTATGTGTGTACAGCTGAGTGTACAGCTCAGCATCTTTCTGCTTGGCTGCTTTCTGACTCAGTCTAGCACAGTCCCTCATCTAACCAGGTTTTTGCAAGGCTGTGATTGCTGAGCAAAGTGGATTCTCCTTGGAGTGGCAGTAGTGGTTCCTCTTTCTATCTGTCTGTTCTAGGAATAGTTTGGGTGTGTGTATAACAGCAGTGCTACAGCTTTCAGCCCTGACACAAACATGTGGCAGCTGTTCTTGTGCAACCCTAACATGTCTGGCTGTAGAATGCTATCACTTGACAGCTGAGTTGTTCAGGTAATGGAAGTGGAAATGCCTCAGTTGAAAGCAGGCTCCCACTTCTTACTATCCACTGCGGCTGTCCCAAAGTAAGTTGTTCCTTTGGTCTGGCATAACTTGTAAACTTTGTATCTATTTTCCAAAAGGGCTGACATAAGGTAGTTTTCAGTTAGCATTTACACCAGCATGTACATGTACATGCTCCAGCCCCTCGTGGCTGGACAGCTTCCAGCCATGCCTTTCTCAGATAAATGCTCCTAATGCCTCAAGGACTGACAAAATCACCTGGCTTAATAAAGGACCTGTTGTTCCTTTAGCCCTCAAACCTCACAGGATAGGGAAGCCATGGTGCAGGGCTGCAGTCTGGTCTGGTTTGAAACAGATGGCATTTTGTCTCACTTCACAAAATCCCTCCTTTTCCCAAAATGCTTTTCAAGAGCATAAACTGAGATATCCTACTTCATACAGTATAGTGTAATCTTCTTCGCTGTAGTGATTGAAGTCAGAAGGAAGTCTGGGGCAGATTACCAGGGCCCTTCTAGGAAATTTCTCTTCTTCTGTCCTGCTTGAATAACACTTCTCCATCAACTCACAACAGTCCAACCCCTCCTGCTCAAGGAGGTTTACCATGAGAGATTTATCATCTTCTTGGTTCAGTGCCATTATTTATGTACATTTGCATGTGACAACCTGAGCTATGGTTTTGATGCATTTAAGGCCACTTAACGTTGATGAATGTTTTTGCTGTGTGTTTATTTATTTGTTTATTTATTTTTTAATTTTAAGTATTCTAATGAAAGAGAGAGAGATGAGAACTTGTGTTTAACATATTTATTTTGGAGAGGGTCTCCTGCTGTCACGTTAAGTATAAACTATGTTTTGCAAAATATTCAAATAAAAGTACCAGTCAGGAGGGAAAAGTCAGTTGAAGCCCATTTTTGTTTTGTCACTTAAGGCCTTAATATAATCAGATGCTCTGTAGATATTTTTTAGATATTACTGTAAGTAACCAGAAACATTTCCATCAGTTTTTCCCTAGGATAATGACAGAGCTTACAGAACTGCAAGAATTCTATGATCCTGATACAGTAGAACTTATGACATGGATAAAGTAAGCAAGAAGTCCTACATTTCTATTTTACTGCTTTTGTCAGGGTATTTTTACCTCAGCAGTTTGTGAAGCTACCTCTGTCTATCTCCCTGGGGGGAGAAATGTATATTTTAAGTTTGTTATTCCCATGGAAAGAAACAGGAATTTGTCATTGATTACAATAGAAGATCCTGAAACACGCAAGCAAATCGTATTTCATATCATTGTGAGACCTAGTTTCCAAATAAAGGTGGCCATCTTAGTGCTTGGTTTTTCGCATGTTAACTTTTCATGAGATTTGAGGATTCATGCTGATTGTAACACCAGTGAGGGACAGAAACACTAAACTTTTACTTGCATAAGCCAGTCAAATGAAATGCCTGAATGTGAGGGTTTAAAGACTTTGTCAGGATACGTGGAGAGGAACATGTATGATTCAGACTTCCCCTGTGACCTGGATCCTGGAAGGGTTCTTACCAGTCTGCCTAGGCAGGGCACAGCAAGAGCTGAGCTATGTTATGTAGTTTATACTGAGCATATACATGGCTAATACCAAGTTATTTTCAAAGATATATTTTTCCTCTCACCAGAAGATTCAGAAATGCATTCTGGCCTCATTCAATCTAAATTTGTACTATGTCATTATTAGGAACTGTACTTCTCTGAAAATTAGATCCCTTGTGTTCAGATAACTTACCTTTAACTGTATTTTTTTAGAATATTACTTTCTGTATTTATGTAGTCTTTAATGTCAACCTGTTCATCTTCAGAAAAGGCAAGGCTGGTAATTACAGAGTTCCAGCCAATTTCTTCTTGCTGTTGCTGGTAGTATATGTTGTTTGTCACTGCTGTAGCTCTTCAAGGCAGCAAGTGGAATAATGCCAAGTACCTAATGGCTCTTATGTTAGTCTCCATATATTAGTCTTGAAGTACGTAATTAATCATGGCAATTGCACTGAGATTCACTCAGCTAAGAGCAATTTTACTACCCTTATTTGTAGCAGCTGTTCATATTTTTAAAGAAAATAAAGGGTTTTTTTTCCTTAAAGATATACTCAGCTATCCATATGGGAATTTTAATTCAATGCCATTACTAGAGTATATTTTCTTTAAATTTTCCCTTTAATAATACAAATTCATTTTGAATCTTCACTGCAAGAGAAGTTGCCCAAAGTCTGTAATAAAGTATGGTAATGACTATTTTATCTCACTAACACAGGAATACAAATAGTCAAAAAATGAAACGAAACCTAGAAACATAGTTAATTAGTGTAGACATTGTTCTGTATGATGACCTTATTTTCTCATAGATCATGAAATGCATGTTCTAGAGATCAAATAAAAATTATAAGAAATCTTTCCCATACAAGATAACATCATGTTTTTCCTTCTATGTACCTTCCCTCACAAGCTTGTTTTGTCGCAAGTTGACAGCCATTCAGAAAAGCAATACTTGGATCCATTCCAGGACCACTCTGAATGGTGCTCTGTGGATTGCAAGGACGGGAGAACAGCCATCAGTCCTTGCCCCAGCAAAAGCCCTTCCTTTCAAACTCCATGTTGCTGCACATCTGAGCATTTCCTGACAAGGAAACTACTGCCACTGCAACATTAACACCAACTAAAATTAGACCCCCAATGAAACCTCCATGTGATCCAGTTCATCCCACAGCACCTTGAAAGATCCCACAGTGTATAAAATTAAGAACATAGTTTTGAGAAATGCATCCTGTACTCAGACATGTGTGTTGGTGTTGCTTTTGCAGGCGACAGGCTCCTGTGGCTGCAGTGTTTGCAGGCAGCCCACAGCTCATGGGTGTGATTAAGCTCTGTACTGGATGGATGGTGTCAAGTTTGCCTTTGTACAACGATGATGATCTTCTGAAAAGAAACGAGAATGTGAGTATCCAATTTCGTAAACGTGGCCTTTCACAGGAACTGTGTTCCTCTTCACCCAAATGTAATGAAAGAACAATCAAATGTATTAGAAGGAAGGAGGACATAGGAGTCCAGCAGACACAGAAGGGATTATCAAGTTAATTATCAGTGCTTTACTCTGGACAGAAACAAATATCAAAATATTATTTCTGAAAACTTTTCAGGCCACTCAAAATATGTAAGATGAGAACTTGCCATCAGTAGAGACAAATACTTCCCATTCAGCTGGCCACTACTTCACCTATTTCAGAGATTTTAAAACCAGACATAACTTGGCGTGTACATTTGGTCTGTTGTTGCAGATCGTTGTGTGTGGCATGTGTGACCCAGTATTATCATTGATTTTTGCATTCTGTGAACGTGTTTTCTTAATTTATAGATTTATCAGATCTATTCAAAGAGGTCAGCAGAGGATATTTATAAGATACTCACATCCTACAAAGCTAATTTTCTGGTTATTGAAGATTCAATTTGCAATGAAGTGGGACCTGTAAGAGGATGCAGAGTTAAAGATCTATTGGATATTGCTAATGGTCATGTAAGTAATAGTGAGAAAATAAGAATGTTTGAATGCATAAATAATTAATTTAAAAAGAAATCTTCTTATAATGCTGATCTTGTTTTTCTGATTGTAGTTGACATGTAGACAAAGACTTAAATATTTTAAAAGTAATCAATTGAGTTTTGGATTGTCTGTTTCTTACACTTGTTATCTTACCCAATGTTATTATTTAAATGCCCTAATCCCTCCTAATACACAAGTATCTATCTGTGCTGCTTTTCTGCCAATCATTAGATGTATAAACTCAGTTCTAAAACTCTGGCGGGATGAGGACCAGCCTGCCATTTAGTTCAATACAGCCTGTTTGGTACTAATGACGTTACAAGTGTATTTGATTCAACCTTGCAGATAGGTTAGCACCCCAATAGATAGTTTAAACCACATCTGGTAGAAAAATTGGTTGAATAAACTGTACCATGAATGCTGTTTCAGTCATTGCCATGCTCTGTCTGTTTGGAATGCTGATAGTGCTGCTCTTGCTGCTGAAGTAGGGACTGAGATGGGGTTTATAAAGCAATCTCATTACCACCTGTTCATCTGCTTCCTGAGAATCCAGCAAAAAATTTGACTTTATAAAGGCAGGAGTGGCCTTAAACTCAAAGTTTCATTGCTCGTTCTCAGGTGTACACGAGAGAGTCACTGGTTACTTCTAGGCAATCACAGGTTAGTTTCATTTAGTTGGTTTCCTGACTAAGAAAGAACTGAAGCATCTACTTGACATTACAGTCTAGTGTGTAGTAACTATACTAAGTGAATCCTTTGTTTTTAATCCTTTTTTTTTTTAATGGGGAGGATATATACATTTCTTGTATATAGTCTTATATTCCATTCTTAGGGGAAAAATCTAAGTGGTTCATCTGTGTTAATTATTTTATAAGTTATACTTTTGATGAAACACATTTCAAAAGAACTTGTAATGCAAACATTTCATTCCTGTAGCTGCTTTGTTTTGAGGGAGTTATTATAGGAGTGGTATGTTATTGGGGGATTATTCTGTGTTTTCCCCAGGAATCTACAACTAGTGTCACTTTCACTTTTAGGTTTCCTGACCTGTTTATCCAGGAAGGATATTGTATCAATTTTTCAGTTAACTTCCTTACCATTGCTGAAATCTGTTTTCTTTCCCTGCCTTGCTGCTAAAATCATGTATGCTGTGATTATTCCATGTTGTATACAATATATTGTACCACAACTAGAGTGTGTGTATGAATAACCTCCATCATTGATAATCAACACATGTATCTCTCAGTTTCTTCTCAGATCTGTGTTTGCATGAGTAAGTTCCTGTTCCCTCTTCACACTTAAAATGGCCTCTGGAGCAATTAACCACAATTTCAGGATTCCATGCCCTCATACCGCTGCTTCTCTCCTCTCCTCTCCATGCTTCCTACATGCTTCTTTCTTGCACATAAGCCTGATAATCCTAACTTCAGCAGCACAGTTTTACTATCAGATTTCTGAGTTTTTGTTTGATTCATGTATCAAGAAGAGTTTCTTCCTTCTTTAATTCCTAACACTGGAAGGAACACCTCCCAGCACTTTTCAGAGCAGTTGTTGCTTGCAATGATGATTTCAGTCAAAGGGAGGAAAAAACTTCAATCAAATCCAAGGAGCCTGTCTTGGATAATGCCACATACAGTGCTGTCAGTACAGAAAACCCGTCATTTACTATTTCTGTGTAATTAGAATTGTCAAAAGTGACAAGGGTTATCCTATTTATAGTGGAGAGATTAAGAAGGTGAAAAGGAGGTTCATGGCAAGAGTTTCAGTTAAAATCTGTTCTGAGGAATGTCTGTAATCTAAATCTGTAATGAAACAACTGGTACATATATTTAAATGTAGACAACTGACTTTTCAGTATTTTTAGAAAAAGGTTGGTTGCCTAGTAATGAACATCACTTACGCTTCCTGTCCGTGGCTGAGTCCATACTGACTTGAAACCTCAAATGGTAGTTGTATAAAAATTAGTGGAATGGCCAACAGGAATAAAGTATTTATTTTTTTCAGAAAACTGACATAGTTTGTTCTTGAGAGTTAATATAGTGTGTTGTCTCAGGAAACTTTAAAAAAATCTCTCAGTTTGCTTGCTAACAAAAATTGTCTAAGTCATATTGAAAGATTATCAAGACTTTCCAAACTAGTGGGTATGTATTTAGAGACTGCAGCATTTACTTATTCCCAAAGTGAGACAGTGGATGGGATGTTACACTGTTGACAGGTCTGTGGATGTGTTTACTAAATGGATGTGTTTAAGAAGATCAGTATTACTTTCTAGCTTGTACTATGTCCTATAGTCCTAGCCCAGTATGGTATTTCTGACTCTCCCTGAGAGCTTAGGATTACTCATAGAGAAAGACAAATATTTTCCAGCAATCTAGCATTACAGGGAAATTATCCTTATAGCCACTGGTGGATTTTTCTTCATGAATTTGTCCTACCACCTTTTTTTAACATCATGTAAATTTCTTCATTATTCAGAAGGAATAATGAAGAGATTACTTCAGGAATATCAAACACTAGGTGCTCAAACACACAAGCAGTTTGCTTCCAAGTCAACTGGTTGGAATTTGTAGGGCTATACGTGTGTGTGTGTGTTTGACCTTTAATAGGTGTGTCAAACTTACTTGGCGTGGAAAAGGTAATTGAGACTTCCCTTCATTACTGGTGTGCTCTGTGTGGGTCAGGCTTGAACTACTGGGTAAACGGGTGTGGGGGGGTGATTTCTGCTGTGTTGTTCTTTATTATGTGAATGAAGTACACTGGTTTTAATGTCTGTTATCCTGGCAAAGGGGTTAATTAACAAAGGCTATTTTGGGTGGTTAAACAAATTATAGGGGAATGTATTTTCAGTTTATAGGAACCGTACAATATGGAAATTAGATGTCTATCATAAATGAAATTTACAGAATACCAAGTAAATTAAATGTACAGAGTTATATTCTGTAACCACTTACCTTCAGTATTTTAATTAGGTCTTCTTCTTTCTGACAGGTGGTTTGTGAGGAAGATGACAACTATGCCTACTCAAAATATGGACGATTTTGTCATGAAATCAAAATGAACTATTCTCCATATGTGAATTATTTTACTCGAGTGTACTGGAATAGATCCTACTTTGTATATAGAATCAACACTGTGATATCCTTCCAGTCATGAAAAAGCATGCAAGCTCCCTTCTGAGGATTTATTCTGAATGAATTTCAGTTTAAAAAGTTCCTTTGGATCAAGGAAGTTATTTTTTCAGATATATGTGCACACATGCAGTATACTGACAACTTTCTTTTACGAAACTGGAATTCTTTGGAACTACAGATCAACAGACAGAGATACCATCCTTGAAGGAAACGGGAACATTTATCAATTTTACAGTCTCTACAACATGTGACAGTCTTCCATGTTTTTACATTTTTCTTCCCATTTTAAATCATTTTAATTTTCATGTAAATGAGATTTCTAACTTTAGTGTTAGAGAGCTGATGTGCATAGACCTCAGTGATAGCATAAAAATTATTTCAAGAGCCCGTTTAGATCATGTAGCTTTTATTTTTTAGCCAAAAAGCAGTTGGTATCTTGAGTCTTTTCAAATAAGTGTTTGGATATTTAGTTTGGTTTTTTTAATTGTCGTTGTTTTAATTCTCCCTGTCTTCCACTGTAAACATTTCTATGTTTATCAAACACATTTATACATCTTATGTGTAGCTATACTGTTTGTATAAATCGAATAAGGAAGATTTTATTTAAACAACACTTCCATAGATTAAGGCACTGATCTCTATATTGTTAGAGACGTGCTGGTGGAAGTGCTGGGGCTTAGACCTAGCAGTAGGAGCTGACAGGGTCAGATCTTCAGTTTGGAAAGAACTTGTCTTCAGGATTCTTCCATGCCTAAGTGTGTGGTGTGTGTGTATGCATATGTGTGTCTTAGCAGCCAGCACAATGGGCCAGTATATACCACAGTGTGCTTGTTTTCAGGCAAGTGTAGCAGGACAGTTAGGTTTGCTACTGAGACTTCTGCACTTCGGTTTCACCCCCTCTGTGTGTGTGAGGTATGCGTGTGTGTGTGTCTGTGTATGGGGAGGGATAGGTCATGCTCATTTCATTCAATTTATTATGAGATAGCTATATTGAGATAGTGCCATAACTGTCATTTAAAACACTATAATCACCACCATTAGTAAATAAGGGTACAGTCGTTCATAGCTATTTTTGTATCAATTATGCAACTACACGGAGATCTTTGAAAAGCTGGGAAAGTATTGTGCAGTTTTGCTTCCCTCTAAAATCTGTGTTTGTTATATGACCCCCCCTTTTCCTCTACAACTATTTTTCTTATCATCTTGTCTGCTACTGGCTGATAGACCTTCAAGAGAGTGAATTATGCTTTAATTCCAACTCTGGGCCTAATCCTTGTGTTGAGAATGGAAAATCCAATAAAAGGTAATGATAGCTTTGCTTAACGTAGGTGTAGCTGGACAGAAAGCCAGAACATAAGTTCTAGAAGAAGTTGTGCACCCCTTAAGAGTTACCTGTAGTTAGGTATTTGTGTAACACCTGGCCTGGAGGCCAGTCTATCAGGCATGTGGGAATAATTCTTTGGAGCCCAGACGTCTTTAATGAAGGATCTGTCAAAATAGGATGAACTTTCAACAGAAATATCTGCAAATGAAAGCTGCAAAACGATCCTTACTGCACTTGTTGATAAAATGCAAGATCAGAGATTTTAACTCTGAAATTATTAGGAACTGCAGCATGTTGGTGTATATGCATGATTCTTCTCTGCTCTATGCAGATACACTTCCTTACTTTACACTGACAGGTAGTGCTGAGATTTTTTTAAACCTATTACCACTTTTGGAGTGATTTAAAAGAAAAAAGCTTTATTGTTGTAAAAGTCAATGTCCGTAATCTGTTTTTTACTTTCAGTTATATTTTTATGCCTATGAGTCTTGACAAAATGTTAACTTATGCATTTTATTTGAAACCAATGCTCAGATAAATCTATTGAATATATGGGATGTGGTCACTGAGAGAAACATTTACCAGTACAACTGTGGTACAGGGTAAAAGTAAATATCCTTTTTGGGCATTCAGTCATCATGTTGAGGGGTGGGGGGGGGGTGTGTGTCTGGTCAAGTGCAGGCTGCATTTATTTGCTTGTGCACAAGTACATGTTTTACTGCACTGGGCTCTTTCAGGCTTTTCAAGTGCCATTTAGCAAGAGAAGTTTGTAAATTAACTTGAGCCAAGGCAGGCCTGCAGGAGCCTCCCCTCTGTGTGCTAGTATGGATGTAGATGTAATATTTGGAAGTAAGTTTAGAGTTCCTTATACAAAGTAAGTTTGTTTGAATCACTGTCAAAGAATCACATGTCTGTGTTTCAGTCATTTTCTCTCTTGAAGTTAATGATTCATGAATATCCTTTCATAACAGCAATAAGGCATTCCAGGTAGCAAACTTCAGGGTTACAACTGCACTTGGGTGGAAGAAGTCGCAAAGCTTTCGGCTTCATGCCTTAGACTGCCATGCCAAGATGCAATATTTAACTGTCCTTCACTGCCTGTTGTGTTTTACTGCAGTGCTGTATGTATGTCTTACATTATAGAACATAGTTTGGATACCTACATGTAGAACACACATATTAAGAAAACCACAAACAAGGCCATCCAGACATCTAAACAAAGCTATGTTGCAGCACCTTGGCCTTTATACATGTTTAAATGAATGTGTTGAGTTTTATTTGAACTGTGACATAGTTATTGTTATTAGTTTTGTCATAGTTTTTAAGATGTATTCTTAATACTTCAATTGGTTCTGCTTTAGGAGAATCATTTAAGATTTTTACCTTGCTTTTTTATATTAGAGAAAATTGTATTGCAGCACCATTGGCACAGCAGCCTTAAGTAACAGAAGGAGCCTTCTATGTGAGAGAACATTGTGGTTGTTCCTGTAAAAAGGCGTCATTAAAATGAGTGACTGAAATAATCATATCTTACAAACAAAGTGGATTAATTTCTTATCCAGATGTGGACTAGCAAAAATATTGTCTAAGCTCCAGCTTCTGTGAAAAATAAACAATAAGTTCCCTGAGATATACAATTATATCCCTCAGAAGGACAACAGTAGGGCACAATTACATCAGATTTGTACACACACAACCCCAGCTTGGTTTTCAACTAGGTCACAGGTTTAACTTCCTGAAAGGGCTGGGGGAAAGTTTTACAAATTTTGATCTGCTTTGCTGTAGATGTTGCAATTCAGTTGAAACATGTGCCTTGCAAGCTTTTATTAAACAAACAAAAACCTCGATTTGTGTTTCTTTTTGTGAAGATTTTTTTTTTTAATTCCTGTCCCCCTGATTTCTAGAGCTTCCGTTGCGTCTTAATACACCAGCCTCTGAGGGTGCCCATGTAGTAAGTGTTGCAGCTGGGATGTGTGCCAGCTGTTCTCTGGGAAGAATGAGAATTTGCATAGCAATTTGTGTGGCTATTTTGCTGACTTATTTCCTCCTTTGCATTTCCAATTTCTGATATGCTTGATCTTAGTAAATGAAAAAAAAAATTACCTTGAAAGAATAAATTGGTATAGTATTTTCAGGCACTCACCATTACCCTTAGACTTGTGAAACGAAGTTTAATCAAGCCATGGCTAAACTACCATGTACAGTTTTGTTTTAATCTTAAAAAAATGCTCTTTCGCTTTCTGAATTACCACATACTTGAACTCGGTTGATAGATTTGAAAGGAGATGTTTGAGACTAAGGAAAGGCATTTCTGAGCATAAATTTCTATTCATATTATTTTAAAAGCCACTGGTTTTATTTCTGCTAAAGTAAATGGAAATCCAATTTAGTACAACACAGTCTTAAATACAATTTCCATGACAGGGGAGGGGGGAAATAAGGAGAAGGTACACAAATGTGGAAGAAAGAGGGCCAAAAGGTTTAACAGGCATTGAAAATTCTTCAAACTATTTGCTCGGGTGGCATTACTATTTACTGAAAGATAAAGGTTAGGGATGAGGTCTTGTTCTTACCACCCTATTTTCACCAAGTCATCTGCAAATGTACAAATCTTGTGATCCTCATGAGCTTTCCCATGCAATTCACCTGAAAAAGAGCTGTGAGATCAGGTTGTAGGGTTTATAAGGTGTCACTGAAATGCTTCTTAATTATGGCTGTTGACTTCATATAACCTGTCCTTCAACCAAAACTCCAACAGGAGAAGGTGCAGGCTGTGTGTGTGAAAGCGAGGTCATGTGTGCACCTGATGTGTTTGCATGTAGAGGTGTCTGTTTTACTGTTGTGTTTTGGAGATGGAACGAGTAACTTCTGTTATCACTAACGGTTGTTGAATCTCTAGGTCTCCTCAATACTGACAGGTGGGTGGACTGTGGAGTACTGTGGTGTTCGAGATGAAAGAAAAGCTGAGTTTGTTCCAACACGAGCAATATTTCATGTGAAATAATACCTCAGCATAAATCTGTATAATCATGCTTTTAGTACTCTTTTTAAAAACTAACTTTAGGGGGAGAAAGAAGGTGGGAATTGTAAGACACGCAGTGTGTGTTATTTCAGTAATGTTTTTCTACTTCATCACTGCAGCTAAAAAAAAATCATGATTATGTTGCCACACTCCAACTATGCCAAATGCAGAGCTAATGATGCCTAAAGGTCTTCTGGATTGTTTTGTACCTCAGCAATATGTTTAAATACATAACTAATCTGGCAATGGTTTTGATTTCAGTGCAGTTAGATGTATGTAGTTCTGCCTTTCAGTGATGTTTAAGGTTACCTATTTATTTAATGGGACAATAGGTGGGTGTTTAATGCCTTTCAAAGTTTTGAACTTCGTTACTTCAGTAACGCAGAAGAATTATTGGTGGTGCTTTACTTGTTAACAGTGGTGTTTAGCAGTGGCATGTATGGCATATGGACTTACCTACATGCAGCTATTTAATAACAAATCTAAGGAATCCAATTCCTTTTATCCTGTTTGTTGTCTTGGACAGTTTTTTATCGAAATTATGTATACATAGTAAGTATTTTTCTCTTGTAACAAATTTTTTTTTTTTCTGTGGGAAAAAAATTAAAATTAATAAAAGCCAAGTTCAGAAACTGTGGATTGTTTGGGACACAAACCGTTTTATGCTTTCTTTTGAGAAGTCAAGGGAAGACTGTAGCTCAAATGTCTGTCATGATGGGCAGCATAAATAGTCTTGCAACTCTTGAGGATTAGCAGCCTGCTCAGACTGGATCCATATGTTGTGCTGACTGTGACTTCCTGTTGAGACATACTGGTGTGAGGATGAGCGGCAAAATATGAGGTGCTTCATATGGAGTTATTGAACTCTGACTTTCTCCCTTAAGATCTTCCTAAAGCAAAGATGTCGCCTGGAAATAAATTGCTATGCAACGTCAAATGCTTACTGATTGAATTGTTTTTAATCAACTAATGTATTATCTGTCTTAAACTTTTACAGATCATGATTACATATTTTAGAGCCTTCTGTCATTTTATAAGATATTATTAATAGGAGTGAAATATTTAAATGCAGATTACTTTGTAATAATTTAGCATGTAATGATATGAAAATCTTGCTATTATTTTAGTTAAATTCCAAAGATGGTAGAAATAATCTATGAAGTGCTTCTCCAAAAACTGATCATTTAGCACCTGAAAAAAGTTATGTATTTCCGTCTTTAATTTGTAGTGGTTCTGAGTTTGAACATTCATCAGACTATTTTCTTTTAGACTAGTCAGGAAATGACCTGATGTTGAAGTATTCAGGTTTATCCATTCAAGCAGCCAGGCTTCATGGTTGCTTAGCTGAAAGAGGAATGGAGCTTCCCAGTAACATGAAATACATGTTGGCATTTGTGTACTGTTCCATGTCTTTATGCAAAACTGAGACCATGGTTACCAGCTGTGAATTAGATAATATTTTATTATATATAATAGAATTTGTATTGATATGTGTCTATAAATAAGTGTATTTAAAAATGTGTGTATGTATTTTATATGTGTATTTATCTCTGTATAAAATACATATTCTGTTTGATGTTTCAGATGTGTTAGGTAAAACTACTGTTGGTTTGGGTTATTACATAGCTCCTTAAGTGGTAGCTCTGTAATCTATTTGTAGGACCAAGTTTCCTAGATTTTCCCATTTTTGCTGTGACTCAGACTATCATATTTCAATCCCTCTATGCTTTCAGGTTGCTTAGATAACAAATGTGATCAACATTTTTTAACAGTGATGAGATTCATCTCATTATGAATTAAATTGCATGTATATAATATGCAAATGTAAAGCAATCCCGAGTACTACAGAACTATTCAGGATGTTATAACACACCATCAGTATATACATTTACTTTCAGAATTTTGAGCAGCTTTACAATGCCTTGGAATTTCTTCTTCTTTGTCTCAAAGTTACAACTGTACTGTTTACCATCGAGCCTTGACTCCTGCTGGTACTGTACTGACTGGTTATAGAAAGACCCAAAATATACTAAGACTGACTTTTTTTTACACTGTTGCAATAAATACCAGAATATTCTGTAAAATGAGGGTGAATATGAAGGGATGCCTTAAGCCATTCTCCCCTCTGAAATAAGTTGACAAAGGATGGGTAAGAATGCAGCTGCCTTCTCCTCACTGCACCATGTTACGCTCTCAATGAGACCCCAAGCACAGAAGCTGTGGTCTCCCTGGAGTAATTGCTGGATGCTGTAAAGAGTGCCTGTGGTTTCTGTGGCTGATCTGACTTCAACTCTAGGCAATAATACAAAATCACTGCGGCAGAAGTGATTAAACCATTTATGCAATTTTAGAAAGGTGCATTAAGTCTGTTTTTCATTTCATCATGAAAACTTATTTCTGAAACACACACACTGTCATTTGCATCTATTTCAGCATTGTTAGCACCCAGATAAATGCTGCTGCTTTTTTTTCTTTTTTTTTTTCCCTCCTCCCAGGTTGACCCATTTTATGACAATCTGAGCTGTAGTCCAAACTGCTGGTTGCATTCTAGGGACTTGTCCCAGCTGCAAGGGAGGGACAGAGGAAGGCTGTTGGGCTTGCTGATAGTTTGGCCTCTGAATAGCAGTTCTTAGATTTAATGGTTACATTTCACAGTCCTCAGTTCACTAGATAAGGTTTGATAGAGAAAAATCCCAAAACTTAATTTTGATTCTTTGGCAATAGAAGCTGGCAGTGTCCTGAAGATACCTAAGGAGTTTATTTTAAATAATAATATGTATTTATTTCTTCTCTGTGTTGTTTCCTATCAAAGTCAAGAGCCATCTCTGCTGTCCTTACTGAGATCACCTCTTGGATTAACCCTCTATCAATCTCTGTGGATTCTGCTTCAGTTTTGCAGGAACATATAGAACATATTTTCCTTTGGAAAATATGGCTACACTCAAGTGTGTTTGTATCTCTTTAAATTGTAGGGTAGGATCTGCTAGGATCTGCGTCCACAAATATATATACATTTGTTTTGTCATAGCACAGGTTTTGTATAACTGAATGTTGCAAATAACAGTTGTGTTACTGAGTGTCTGCAGTGGCAAGGTTTTTGCTGTTTCTGCTCTGGTTAACACATCTTAGTTGGGGCAATGGGAGTGACATGCAGCAGAAGCCTGAATTTGCATCACCGAAATGCTGTGTTAATGTATTAACAATATATGGGTTCATAGGTGGAAGACTGTGAATAAAATCCAGTTTATAACTTCACAGGCTGTAGGCAAAACTGGATGTTTCTAAATGCTTGAATATAAGAGAATAGAAAGGATAGTGGAAAGTGTAATGTACGATAAAAATGGGTACTTGATTTTGAGAGGATTTCATTTGCTTGTTGGAAGTTTTTATAAGGATGCATCACACTTAGAAGAGGGAATGCTGCACTGTGTCTCCATACTGATCTAAGCTTGTCCTAAACTGAACGTTTGTTTGCATGGTCTGGCTGGCTCATTAAGTGTTGTAAGTTAATGAGGTTTCTAGTGCCTTTGTGAAGGAAGGAATTATGGCACAAAGAGCAAAGATAACACACTTGAAGCTTGCTACAGCACATTAACCATGGATGGATCTTGATGGTTACTTTCCTGTTGCTACTGGTAAACGGACTTTGCGGTCCCAGTGTGAGATTTCACATGATGCTGAATTTTAGAAACTATCATCCCTTCCCCTTGCTGCGGTAAAAATAAAGGCCAACAGCTTGTAATAACAGATGTGATCTCCCAACGATTACCTCTCCTTACACTGGTAATTCCCCGAGTGGCAGAGGTGCAGATCTAGCAGCTGGTT